TAATAAATCGGCGGCCCACATGTCAGTGAGTCACAGATCACATCACCGGCTGGACACTTGGCTGCCACGAAAGCTACGGCACGGCGCGCGGTTTCCCGCTGCCACCGACGCGTGGGACCGGTGGACCCTTGCCCTTTGACCCGCCTCGACGTCGGTGCCTCGCGTCCCTTGCTCTCCCACCGATCAGGCGAACAAATACGCACGCGCACGCAAAAAAAAAAAAAAAAAAACTTTTGTTTTGTTCTTGCGGCGACGAGGGCGCGAGGCGAGGTAGGTTTTCGGATCCCTCTCCTCAATCCCCTCACGTTTCGTTTGGTTTGTGTTCTTCCGGCGTCGATCCTGACGAGATCGCTTCCTCTCTCTCTCTCCCCACGCGCCGCCATCTGCCAGTCGCGAGGAGCCGAGGAGGATCGGGGGTCAGGTACACATGTCCGTCTCCTTCCCTTGTTCGTATCATCGTCGTGGTTGGGTCCGTTGGATTTGTTGCTTTTGACGGCATCACGCGATCGGTTGTTTTTGCTTGATTTTTTTGTTATTTTTTCCATTAGGGTTGGATCGATCTGTAGGGATTTGGATGCAACACGTTGCGAATTCCGGCCCGTTGGTTTGGCTACAATCTCTCTCGTGCTCTCGCTCTCCCGTTGGTATCCTCGTTTGCGCGCGGTAAAGGTTTTTGGGACCGGGCACCGGGGTTGAGGGTGCGTGACCTTGAGATTCGTGCGGCCGCTGATTAGTCGACAGCTATGGCTATGGCATCTGATACGAGGAGAGAATCGGCGGCTTTTGCCGCCGTGAGCCGTGGGGGCAGCGTGGTGCTTGGTTCGCTGCTTTGATGCAATCTTTGTCGCCACTCGGAGTGTTGTCGTAATCAATGAAAACTTCATACAGCATTTGCTTTGAAAACTTCATACAGCATTTGCTTTGATGTCCCTGATGGGCCACTGTGGAATAGAGATCTTTATGTGCACCTCTATGATACCCCATCACTGAATCTGCATCGAGACTACACAAGAAAGCTGGTCAGCTAAACTGGCTGACTGACTGACTTTATCCTCGTCGAGGACCGATTACGTCATGAAGAAACTACAGGATTGCAAGTGTGCTGCATGATGCATGAACACACCACACATGCCATGGAATCTGTTGCACTCGATGGCTTGTGCATACAATCTGTAACAATATAATTAAAGTTCATGCACCATTGAACCTATTATAATTGCTCTTTGTCTTAGGCAGTGCCCCCGTTGTGGTCCACTCGTGTGCCGCCTCGTTGCTTTGTGGTTCAGTCAGGCAGGCAGCTCAAAAGGGAACGAAACAACCAATATATGTTAATCGTTTGGATTCATGTCAGTGAGGGAGTACAAACCAGAAAGAGGGTGCTCTGCAAAATTGTACCATGGTCTTTGGAATCCTAGATACAAAGATGTAGCATGCAAGTGCACCTAATGATTCATTTTCTAGGAAGGAGAGCGTACTTAAACCAATCCTTGCAAAAAGTGGGGTTTAAGTTCAGAAATTTCATGCCTTGGGACAGCAGTGGATTATTTCTGAAGGTTTGACTAGTATGCTGGCTCCAATCTAGGTAGTGGCTGGATGCAAATCATGGGGCACGGGCTGATGTTGTGCAAAGACGATACATATTTCTATGTACACATATACTTGGATATCTAGTAAGAAATAAACTAACATTTGGAAGATATATGTGCTATTATCATAAACATACCAAATTACTTTTGTTTATCTAGGTGTTGGAATACAATTTTGTGAAGGATCATTTGCCATCAACTTCTGCTTCAGTATATCTATAAAAAATTAGATCCAATCCTACTACAAATACAGATTAATCTTCAGTTTCAACTTGATAGTTTATCAGTTCATGGCCAAACCTTTCCATTGAAATCTGCATATTTTGAAGGTCTTGTTGGTCCCACCAGTCAAAAAGCACTTGGTAGAACATAGGGTTGTTGCTGAAGATTATTTGTGCTCTGTTACAAGTCTTAATTCTAATCTGAGTACGCTTGTTACCATAAAAGCTAAAGGCTCGAGCTGTTTCTTCTTGGTTGTGTAAAAGCAGAGAATCAAAGCATGTTAGGGGCTATCAAGTGATCACTTCCTTTGGGGTTTGGTCATGGTCATGCATGGAAGCACTTCCCTAGGAGAGAATCCAAACTAGCTTTTGGCCCCTCAGTTTTTTACACGACTCCATGATTTGTATCTGCTTCTCCTTTCACTTCACCCAAGAAAATGGAATGGAAGAGAAGGCATATCATCCTATGGTTTTGAAACCTATATATTCTTTGGTAGCATCTACTACCATGACTGCTAGTACTTGTAACTAGCACAGTAACATAAAAGAAATTAAATAGATGGAGTAGATAAAAAGCAAAAGCAAATCCACTAATGTAAAGCCTCGAGGATGAGCATGATAAAGGGCAAGGGAAACAACACAGGAGATGTAAAACACAACTGAAAATTAAAGGGTTGTTCAAAGAGTTCTAAAGACAGTGGTCAACGCCACCCTTGAGGGCTACTACCCTCTTGGTTTTGCCCTGTCTTTATTGGTATTCAGGCATTCTCACCAGTTATGCATCAGCTCCTCCCTTTGCTTTCTGCCCAGGAATCATTTTTCATCTCGTTTTGTGCTTGGGGTGTTTCATTATGAGACAATGGCATCTTTATCTGCATTCGAAAATTCCCTCTCTTATAACGAAAAAGATAAAGCCTAGTTCTCAACGCTTACAGCTCATCAATCCAATTGGCTAGCTATGTCTTGATTTGTAGTTTTTCCTTTTCTTTCTCTTCTGTCACTTTCACCTATTTAATTTTGTATCATATAACCATGTGACCATCTGCCAGTATGCTTTTGCATTTAGATTAGACAATGGTGTGTCTATCAGTAGCCCCTTGTTGATCAAAGTGAGGAAAAACCCTCGGGGCCGAAGTGGTATATCAATTCACGAGTGATTCTGAGTTTTGCCAAAAATAAGGTAGCGCAGGTTATTTGCTAAGCAGAAGTGGGGTAAAATGTATTTGCTTCTCAACCATATCATATTTGTTTAAAGACATTTGTTTTTATTTGCATGAACTGCATTATCGATTTTATTTAATCTTATCCAGGGGGCAGGAGTGGGGACCTTCTCTTAATTTTTCCTTTTTTTGCAAAGAAAAAGTTTCTCATTTGTTAGATTAACTTAGTTGAGAAGATAGTATGTTCTTTCTCTAGTGCTAATTTTGCTTTTTCACCTGCACATCCTGTTGTCATGTACTCCCTCTCTTCCAAACTATAAGACCTTTTGGCTATTCTAGATACATTTATTTTACTATCTCCTAAAAAAACATTGCTTTTTACTATGTATCTAGATATAGTCTATATCTAAGTGCATAGCAAATGCTATGTATCTAGAAACGACAAAACGTCTTATAGCTTAGAATGGAGGGAACAGATGTTCACGCTGTTGGTAAGCTATTGAACACTTTATGCCCCTTTCTCTCCTTGCATTTAGAATATTCACTTGTGGTGCAGTGTCCCCATATTCATACTTGTTCCTTCTTATCCAGAAAATTAGCTATTCCATTTCTGATCCATTCATTGGAGTTTGGCTGATACCTATTTTTCTCATTTTCTTAGAAATATTTCTCTAACAACTAATTATGGGACTTATTTTTCATATTAGTGATAGTATATGGTTCAGAAAATTAATTATCACCAGTTAATTAAGCTATATGTAAGGGACCTCTAAATCCATGGAAAAAGTTGTTCTGAGGCTTCGAGTTGAAAAAGGCTTGCTTACTTCAAGTTACGCTGAATAAATGATATGGATGGGCCATGATATTGTTGTAGATTGCTCGACAGAAATGGTTATAGCACTGAGTTGATGTGATTGTTGCTTGGAATGGATTCCGTGGTCTTTTCTCAATAATTGATAGTAAAGGAAGGCGAAGTTAGCATGGAATATCAGGAACAGGAATAGCATTTCTCTTAGTTGCAGGAATCAAAGGTTATATATTGATAAATAAGCATAGGTTCAGAATGATAGGCTCCATTCTCAACACCTCCAACACTTGCTTATTTCCATCGGAATCTAATAAGTGCTAATTTTAGGTTTTGCATTTCTTTCCATATATTTTGTATGATTCTTGATTAGGTTATCGATGCAGCGCAGCCTCCACAATTGCTCGACCTAGTGCGATAAGTTGTATTGTTGGTATAGATGTGTTTGTGGTTTTGGAACGAGGTAACTAAATGGGTGATGTATTATACCTTCAAATATAGGAAGACAGAGACAGAGAATCTGTCATTCAACAGTTAACTATATAAGTGTGCCATGAAAAGAGAATATTTTACTAATCACTAACATTTACTCTATTTTGGATGCTATACCAACCACCTCCTCAAATTCCATATTAGTGTTGCAGCCTTATATATTTTGGATGTGTTTCTGCTAAAACATATTCTGAGCACACCTACAACAGCTAGTGCATGCCATATTTCCTAAGCACAAGAATACGAAGAAGTGCACATCCCTCCATCCCATGTCTCAAAAGATGTTGCCAAGGCAGGCTAAGATGCAGGGCAAAGGAGGCATTCAAACTCCCCATAATTCTTTTCCCTTTAATGGCTTTCTCTTCTTTTCTTTTCTTTAACTCTCCTCTTCTTTCTAGTTTTACGTGATTCCCTTGTTCTTCGCGGGCCAAAGTGCACTAAGAATCAAAGGCACAAAGATAGCTCACCCTCGGTTTCAGCATCCCCTCCATACTTCACTATAAATACCCCTGCACATAGGCACCTTGCTGCATCACCGTTTCACTTCATAGCACTTCCTAGGACCCAGCAACACAGCAGCCGAGCTTTGTTTAGGTAATTTAGCTTTATGTTAGCGTGTAACTTCATATATATATCTTCTTGGATTATGTTTTTGTTCTAGCTCTTTGATTGTATCTCCCTTAATCTGGGTGCCCATTTTTTGCATGGTTTTGATAGTGTAACTACTGCAGGCAAGATGAACAGGAAGCCGGGAGACTGGGACTGCAGGGCGTGCCAGCACCTCAACTTCAGCCGTCGGGACATATGCCAGCGCTGCAGTGAACCACGTGGGGTCGCTGATCGTGGCAGTGGTGGTGGAGGTGACTATGCCAACTTTGGTGGCCGTGGTGGTTCCTCCTTCGGCGGTGGCTTTGGTGCTGGCTCTGATGTCCGCCCTGGTGACTGGTACTGCTCCTGCGGTGCACACAACTTCGCCAGCCGCTCCAGCTGCTTCAAGTGCTCTGCCTACAAGGAGGAGGCTGCTGTAAACAGTGGTGCTGGCGGCTTTGATAGTGACATGTCACGCTCACGGGGCTACGGCTCCGGCAGCGGTGCTGCCCGTACCAACCGCCCCGGTTGGAAGTCTGGAGACTGGATCTGCACCAGGTGCGTGTTACTTAACTTTATCCTTCTACCTTTGCTGAAAGATAAAGTTTGCTCTGTTCTATCTTATTTTCAGTTATGTGTATCTACAAACTTAGTAACTATTTCATGGACGGGCAAAGTATATCATTCTTTCCATGAATCCATGTGCTTGTTTTCTTATCGACTATGGATATACACACGGTCTGATGGTAGTTGCGACCTTGTGTATGCTTATATCTTCTTGTTATGCTATGCTTCCGTGTTTTCTGGCTTTATTTTAGAAAAAAAAGGATTGTTTTATCAGCAACATGCTGGAGTAAGAGACAACAGAATCATCTTATCTATGCTTTCTGTCTGCATGGATGATAGCAGTAAACTGCTTTTATATCTTCTCCAAGGAGTTGCTGATGTGTTGTATTAGTGGATGAGTATTGAGTAGGTACGTGTTTTGTACTAGTGGGTTTTGTGCGACATGTGAGGATTGGTTGTCCTTATCACCATATTTCAATGTCATAGCACTCTGCCAGCATGTATTTTCCATGTTTCAGTTAGTTATATGATTTGAGATTCTCATGTCCTGTGAATTCTGCTTTCTGCTAACCCTTGTGCGTGCCTGTCTGAATGTTTACAGGTCTGGATGCAACGAGCACAACTTTGCTAGCAGGATGGAATGTTTCAGGTGCAACGCACCACGGGACTCCGGTAGCGCTGCCATGACCTACGAAAATTACTTGTAAATTATCAAATCTTCCCTCCTTTTTCTGGCTGCTATCCATGATTCTGACCGAATGTGGGGTTGTTCCGTTTGCAGGCACTGAGGCGTAGGAGCCAAGTTTGCAGCGTCGACGAAGCAGAAGCAGCAAGAAGAGAGGAGTCCTCAGATCGTCATAAGAGAGTAGTAGATTTGCAAAAGACATCCTTGATGCTCTATTACTAGTTTTGTTCCACCCCTACCGTTTCTTTTAGATTTGGTTCCTTCTCATCCCCATTTGGGACAGTACCCCGGACCTATGTTTGCTGTTTTATTTCCGTTCGTTCATCTCCGCATGTTTGCGCTTGGATCGAGTCCTGTGATGTAACCCCAAAACGCTCGCTTCACAAGTATTAACTAGTACTGTTGCTTCTTAATATCTCGGGGCGTTCATCCTGTTCATGTGTATGGTGTATGGGTATTGGTACTTGGTGTGTGAATTGCTGGCACCTTCATCTTCATCTGTTGGGAGTGTGGCCTTGGCCGCGATGACACCGAGGACAAATACCGAAGGCTGTTGAGAAACGTTGTCTGGTGTAATTCATTTGATAGGAGTCAGGCACGAAACACCAATTCCAGCAGTTGAAGAATCCAACATGGCCTCAACCTCTGTAGTTGTGATAACGTTTTGTTTCCTTCCTTGAGCAGTAGCTGTGCTTGGTGGTTGCAGCTATGCACGTGCAACGCAATGCGTGGTGCGGCGAACCAACACCTCTCGGGAGTGTTCGGCTGGTCGAAAAGCGTCTCGTGTAAGCGCGCGCCAGCACGCACACACAACACAGCCTGGAGACCGCATCGGTAAAACCAGCGGCAGCTCGTCGTCGGTCTCTTTCTCTGTTTCTCTGTTATATAAAAATGCCCAAGTGCGTGTGGAATGCATTGCATTGGATGCTCTTTGAAGTCTTTTGCGCCCATGCCTTGTCTTTAGCTCTTTGCAGTTAAAGGCAGGTGGTTCACTGGTTCCATGTCTCCATATGAGCATGAGCTTCCCCTGCACGACGCCGCATCATTCACACGCATGTGCCGCCCACCCCGCCCTAGCTAAGCCCAAGTGATTTGCTGCTGGGTGCTGGCCGATAAGGCGCGGCGCGGTGCGCGCATCCTGAGCCTGAGCGGTTGAGAGAAAAGATCCCATCCCAGTCAAAAGTGGCCAGGTCGGCATCAGCAGAGCAAAGCGCGGCGGCCACGTCGCCGCCGCGGCGGGGCATTGGCAGGCCGGCTGGCTCTCGGCCTGAGGGAGGGAGATTCCCTCTTCGATTGCCTCGACTCCTTTGAGCCCTTTCTTTATACATGCATGCACTGCCACTGCCACTGCCACTGCCCGCCTCCGCTTTGGCTAGGAGTAGCTTTGCCCCGCGCGGCGGCGCGGCGGCTTCTTTTCTCCCTCCCTCTGCCTGACCGCCTTTTATCGTGGCGACTGGCGAGAACCCTGCAGGGGGCTGGGGCTGGGGCATGCAGCGTTCAGCGGCAGCGCATCCAGACCTGACCAAAGCGCGGCCGCGGCCCGCAGGTAACTAAAGGCGGGGGAGCACTGGCGTTGCATGGCGGCTCGCAGCCTTTGGAGGGGAGGGAGAGGGAGAGCCCGCGAGGGAGGGAGGCTGGGTGGCCGTGCCCGGCCGGTACGGTGTTGGCCCTGTTTGGATCTATGAGTTAAAGCTAGTTTGGATGAGTTAGAGCTCAACTAGCCTTAAAGTAGCTAAACAGGAGGGTTAGAGTGGATTATTTGCAACTAGCCCACCCTAAAAAACTATTCCTCCAAAGAGGTGATTATTTGGGCTAGTTGGAGCTATTTAAGGTGGGGTCCACTGTTTTTTCTCTACTTTCATCCGCACCAATGATTTGGAAAGCATATTTATTATCATTTTAACCCTTATATCCAAACATCTCTTAGACTAAAGTTAGTTCAAGGCTAGTTCTAAACTAAAACTAACTCTAACCTCTAGCTGTGCTAGAGTATCAAACAGGTTGTCTGTTTTGCGGTGTCTCTTCTGCGGTTTCCTCACCCACGAGCACAATGCACGGATTTTCAAGATGATGGGAGGGACCGCGCCGAAGAGGATAGGACGGGGGTCGCGGAGGCTTTTCGTCTTTCGGGTGACGACCACAGCGCACAGGCAGCAGGGGCCGGGGCTTTGCCTTGCCGGTACCCCGCGCGCGCGTTTACCGGCCGAATCCATGAGGACCGTGTCAGTTGTCACCGTCAGTCCGTCAGTCCGTCAAGAGTAGCTTTTCGAAAGAAAAAAAAAAGAGAAAGAAATAGACAACCACAGAATCACTAAACCCTTGCTAGGGTGCATGTTTCTTACGGATGGCATTATGGTGAAGATCTAATTGTTGATTATTTTGCCTCCTTAAATCATACCATTGTTGTTGTGAAATGCAAGCTCCGTCGACTGTCATGAGCGCGCGCGCATATATATATATATATATATATATATATATATATATATATATATATATATATATATATATATATATATATGTGTGTGTGGAGAGTATACTCATACTCTGTAGCTGGTTATAAAATAGTTTATTCCGTAACCAGGCCAACCGAGCGCACCAGATCCGGCCGGCTAGCCCCAAAGCGTTACTGCTTTCCTTTCCAGCTGCATGCATGCGGGATCAACGCTGCAGGTAATTGCAGTAATTAATGACGCTGTATATTTGGAATAATTATTTTCACGCCTTCACACGGTGCCATTGCCATGCATGCAAAGCGTGTACAGATGTGTTACGAGAATACAAAAAGCTGGTGTACTAGTACAGCCGGTGCCATGCATGCAAGTATTACGAGAATACTAAAAGCAAATACAAACCTATCGTATTCAGTAAATGATTTACTATGTTAAAAAAAAGTAAATGATTTACTAGAAAATATATACCATTGATTGTGATTTACTAGAATCTATGCCTTGCTATCCTTGTGAATTTGACAACTATGATTTATGAGAATTTAGTGTAATTTACGAGAATGAAACTTGAATGTGAATTACGAGAACCGAAATAATTACGAGAATTCGAGTTGGCTTCATATGACAATTACATGATGAGTTACTTTGTTTAGGTTCAGGTTGTTCCATGTAACTAGTTGGCCAGTTACGAGAATGAATGAAGTCTAGAACTATACTATATTGTAACCGAGACAATGGTTTACCATGAAATAATTACGAGAATTCGAGTTTCTTGATATGAGAATTACATGAGAGTCAAATGGTTCATGATAAGTAGTTACTATAGTATTGAGCCCATTTTACCATAAGACAGTTACGATATTTCAAATGGTACATATTGTATAGCACCAGGTTGTACTGGGCGAATCATATATCTCAACATACAAAATGGTACCAAACCGCTTCGACAATTACAGACTATATTGTTTCTTGTTTCAATTAGGTCCATGTTGGCTGATAAGCCATAACTGAAAGTACTGTTGGCTGATTTGTTGTGAGAGTAAAATACTGTTCATTCGCTGAAAAAGTACGGATTATAAAACAAACGAACAAGAGGTCTTCTGAATTGATGAATCTTTGATGCAGTACCATCCACAACCTCTGAAGCTGGAAGCCAGGATCTATGCACCTGGATTTAGGAAAAAAAAATGAAGATAAAACTTTTAGCAAGATCATGAGGCTAATAGCATCTTCCAGAAAAAAAATTGTGAAAAATCAGAATCTATAATTAGATTAACAACAATGCAGTTTGATAATTAGAGAAATCCATACAGATTATTTGAATGTAGAGATAAATCAAGCGGAGGCATAGGAAAAAATACAGTTTAATCCTCACGGATTCGGATCAACAAATAAACAGGAGAAGGATTCCGATCAACAAATAAACAGGAGATGTCACACTCACCGAAGGAGAGGATGCAGTCTCTATCACGGAGCTGTCATCCACTTACGACGGGCATCGACAAAGACGATTCGCCTCAGGTCCGGCCGATGAGCCACCAACGACTAGGCTGATGCATCACATCGTGGCCAAGTCACGGTTCCGAGTCGACGAAGAGGACGGGCATAGGCCAACGGGGAAGGTGCCGCGCCGGAGATGACGAGAGAAGACAGGGAGGGGCCGTCCGAGCCCGGCGCCACCTTCACGGGGAGCGAGGCTGCCACCGGTCGCAGCGCGGGGGAGCAGGGCCGCCGCCGCTCGCGTCATCGCGGGGCCAGGCCACCGTGGCAGGGCCGCCGCCGGTCGCCGGAATCCCATGAGGATGATGCGCACCGCCGGTCGGGGAAGGATCAGATCGACGCCGTCGCAGTGTCCCGTGTGGTGGAACGTCTCCAGCAGGAAGAAGCAAAACGTGTTTTCGTGGCTGCGTTCTTGGGCGGCGAACCTGGTTTTCTCGTGGCCGGTGAAAGGAAAGAGAAAAATCTCGGGATTAAATGAATGCATGGATGCATTAGGATGGGGGAACACCTGAGTCAAAGCCAATCTCGCTCGGGAGTTAGGCCAGTCTCATTCAGGTTTTATTAGAGTTTTATGGATATTAAATAGATTGATGTGGCACGGGGATAAAACTATTCTATACTATTTTCAAAATATAAATACATTAGTAACAGGGTCATGAAATCTTCATTGAGACTTGCCTTACAATGGGTCTCGAGTTCGCAAGTTTTGGTCTGGCTATATAATACTCCCTCCGGTTCTCTAAATCAAGTCGTTTTGGACATCGACACGGTCTTTAAGAAACGACTTTGACTGCAACTTTTTGCTATAAAATATTTATAAAATATAGTCAATATATACTTTTATGAAACTACATTTCGAGATGAATCTACTTATATCACTTTCATATTTTCAAACTCAACCCAAAAGAAGTTATTTATAGTCAAAGTTTAAAATGTTTGACTTAAAACAACCTCAAAACGACTTGTTTTAGAGAACCAGAGGGAGTATGATATTCTGTAGCTAGTTATGGACTAATAAGTCTATATATATATATATATATATATGTGTGTGTGTGTGCGCGCGCGCGCGCTAATTAGTATTCAGCAGTGGCGAATCTAGAATTTTGGGTCAGGGTATGCTTCTCAAAAAATTTCATACGCAATTCAGAAAATCCACTTTCCAA